CACGTCAGTCATACTAGATCTACTACATCATTGGTCACGTCAGTCATTACAAGAGCTGCTGCATTATTGGTCACGCCAGTCATTACTAGATCTACTACATCATTGGTCACGTCAGTCATTACTAGAGCTACTGCACCATTGGTCACGTCAGTCATACTAGATCTACTACATCATTGGTCACGTCAATCATTACAAGTGCTGCTGCATCATTGGTCACGTCAGTCATACTAGATCTACTACATCATTGGTCACGTCAGTCATTATTAGATCTACTACATCATTGTTCACGTCAGTCATTACAAGAGCTACTGCACCATTGGTCACGTCAGTCATACTAGATCTACTACATCATTGGTCACGTCAGTCATTACAAGAGCTGCTGCACCATTGGTCACGTCAGTCATTACTAGAGCAGCTGCATCATTTATTCACTTCAGTCATTACTAGAGTTGCTGCACCATTGGTCACGTCAGTCATTACCTACTATATCCACTAATATCCAAGGGCATAATACTGTGGTTTCTTTCACTCATCACAGAGCATTACTTGATGTATTTAGATGTGGCTTTGTCCGACGGACTATAGGCCTATAGTACATATCTTTTTGGACAGTGGGTGGACATATTGATTTCTACTTGCTTACGTCACTCATCTTATCATTTCTTAAATTCATTGCATGGAATATATACGTAGTCAAAGGCTTTATTTTTAAAAGACAATAATTCATAAAACTTAAATATATTTGGAAATTCATACATTGATGGATGTAGGTAATGCAATTCGTAAATTCTGATAAAATGGACAGATGACAATATGGTACTCATCCTTTATTAGCTGTAATACATAATCTATTTTCCTTTGGGATTTTGGAATATCTTCCCGTTTCAATTTGAACATCTGAATCTAGAAAATGCAATTATATATTTGTACAAGAGTGGTTTCAAAAGATATTCTGCATTTCTAAAATATCTTTTAAACAAACTAACGTACTGGCATTTTGACGATAAAGCTAACCAACAAAACTACTATGTATGCATCTTTGAGCCTTTGTGTACACAATTCAACAAAGTGTTCAGGACAATCTACATTTTGACTTTGCCGAGCATAACCTGCGCTTAAACCATTAATGACCTTTTAACTGAGAAAATCCAGTTGCTTTCCATTTTGGTCATACTATACCATCATTTCATAACACTTTCATGGGTATCTATCTTTTGGCATCCTTAATAACCCTAACCAAGACTTATAATGTATATATCAGAAACCTACCACATGTGTGTATTTTCACTCCCAAATATCTTTTACATGCGAATAAATACACCCTATCTACCAAATATAACTGCATCTTCGCGAGGCAAGAGAGTTAACTGACTATAAAAGTCTGGTTTCCATCCTTGCCGAACTAGACTGGTATTATGGAGTTACATTTTGGCTGGGCTAACGAGTCTATGCACAGTCCAATCAAAATCGCTCAACGAAATCGAAATACGGTTCGTAAACTGTCGTGCTGATTTCGGTCGATTGCAGGATTTGCATAGCATGTGCACCTCCAACTCGTTGTCAACAGATATTTTCCAAACCTTTTCATGATTTTAAGCAATGTGCTCACCTGATTTGATGCACTTCGCGATGTCAGACTCGTTTTATCCCAATATAGATCTTGATTATCGATCAGATCGTCTTGACTGTGCGCCGCCATTTTGTTTGAATCAAATGCAAGTGATACGAAAGGTGGAATCTGATTGGTCTATAGGAGAGGTTTAGAAGGGTCATAACTCGTAATAACCACTGGTGGCGCTACGATCGAGCCCAGGAATTCCAGGATGTTCGGCAAGGGTGGAAACTAGACTTCTAAAGTCAGTTACCTCTCTTGCCTCGGGAAGATGATCTAACTGAATGTACACCCCAACTTCAGCCCTATATAATAGTATATAATAAATTGGCTTTATTTTGTGTCAAAACATTTAAAAAATAGATTAAAATTTACACTCTCAATAGATCTTAGACCTTTTAGTATCCTATTGAGAATTGTTAGCTTGAATGTGTTGCAGCCTGTATTAAATGACGTTGACAATACCAGGAGACTTTTCTGTTTTTAATCTTTGTATACTTGAAGTGATTTCTTCTTTTGAAATATGAAAATCTAATATATCAGCTACTAAAATAGTCTCCTCACTGTCTATTTCCATGTCCTCCTGCAAATGTTCACTGTTACTGTCAAAAGAAAATAAGTCTTTAAAATGTTTATACCGGGTATCTATGTTGATATTATTATTATAAACATGTCTTTTGCCATCCAAATCTTTTAGAGTAGACCAGAACCTTTTGGGATCATTCTAGTCTTGCTTGCTGTCTCGCCTTGTATTCCCTTTTTCAACTTCTGCATGTAGACTTATACTTATTTCGAGCCTGGTTGTAAATTGATATGTATATATATTTAAACAGCTACATCTTTTCTTTTTGAGGAATTCACATTCAATATCAAACCATTACTTATCTGAAATACATCGACCAACTTTCCTTCTCAAACACATACCAGCATTTCACAATGTATTTCTGTTAAATGTTACTTAGTGTGCATATGGTGTGAGGAAGACCCAGTGTAACATACGACAATCTCATTCAATCAGATCCTAGTTCTCGCTTCCGCTAAACACACATCTGAGTACATCCTGTTACGGGTCATGTCAGAACGACCTTTCATCCGACCAATCAGAGCCTCACTTACCAGGACATGAAAGTGAAAATTTTCTGAAATGTTAACGCTGGATATTCCGAACGATAGTTGTATTGTACGACTGATTTCGTCAAAATGATCGTCTTTTTCGCTTCAATGGGATAAACATATGAACGAAAAGACTAAGCATGAGCCGTGAGAAGTAACGCAATACAATCTCGTTAGAAAAATGTGAGACATTCCAAACTGATCTTTTGTAAGTTTTCAAATTTTGAATAGAGAACATTTTCAAAATATTTTCTGGAATGGAAGTCGCCATTTTGTTGCTTTCTGTTTGGCTGATATTAGCTTTTTCTTTGCAGTTTCATTGTTAGATCAAAGTTCACAAAGGTCGTTCTGATGGGATGTCCTCAGATCCTTGTTTTGCGGTGGCGAGATCTGATATAATGGGATTGGTCAGACAGAGGGCAATTGTCAGAGTGAATCAAACCGACGTAGTAACCGACATTCGGTAATGTCTGACCTCCTGACTGCTACCTGCAATGTGAATCCCTGACATGCTTGAGTACTTTCTTCCCCATATCACACAGCATGCAGATAACCATTGTCATGCTCATAACAATGGCTCCATGAGTCAGATCAGCGAAACAACCCTGCTTTTCCTTGCCTAGGTGAGCAACATCCTACAACCTCGTGCCTGTAAGAGCCGATTACGGGTGAGGTGAGGTGAGGTGAGGTGAAATGGGTTTAACGTCGCGTCCAAGATTATTGCACTTATAAAGCGACGTGCATGCATGCACGTGTGTGTGTGTGTGTGTGTGTGTGTGTGTGTGTGTGTGTGTGTGTGTGTGTGTGTGTGTGTGTGTGTGTGTGTGTGGCTGCTTGTACTACTCCGGACTGATGCCAATTTATAGTGCTAGCACAGCAAAAAAAGTGTAGGTTTCCGTCTTCCGGATACCTACCCATTTTGGATCCGGCCCGGATACCTTCCGGAAACCTTAAAAAAAAAATGTCAAAATTTGGGGGGTGCATTTTGTTCACTTAAGTGTGAAACACATAAAAAAATTAACTTGAAAATACCAAGCAATTTGAAGGTTGCTGATGGCATCTGGAAGGTTTCCGGATGCAAATTTTCTTCATGACTTGCTTCTGGTAAATAATGTTAGCATGTGCATTTCAGGTAGCTGTTGTAATATTCTGGGTTACTTTAATGGTAAATATCCTCCTAAAACATTTTTTGAGAAGACAATTGTTCAATTTCATATATTGTCCTTTTCAGATGTTAATGGTATTTAATGAACAAACATCAGTTCTTGTATAATGATATCCTTAAATTTCATGTCCAGACTTCCAGTTTGTACTGAGAGAAAGAAAAAGTCATTGACAATGTGCTCACTTGGGCCTTTGGTCCTAGTGAGATGATAATAAGACTATTTGTAATGGTACATGTACTTGTTATATCCAAAATACTAACTTCATTGAAATTTGCCTCACCCTAGTTTTATGGTACTACCGTGAGCTCTTCCTCAGTTACTGTGAAATCTTTTATTAAAAGGGATTGAGAGTTAATTTGACACTGGAGTTGTAACCACTGCTCATATATGTGTATTCAAATAATATAACAACTATATGCTTAATACTTCACAAATATCTCCAGAAATAGGCATTTTAGTCATAATTGCAGAAATACTTTATGAATGACCCCTTCACTATTGCCTTGATCTTACACTTCAACCCTTCATGAGTTATCACTTTTGAGTGTGAATTTGACCTTCAATATCAGTGATAAATATTTCAAAAACATTTCAAAGAGCTATCCAGCACATAAACCAAATATGCAGTCCTTTGGTAGAATTCAACATATCATCGACAAAAATATGAAAGTAATGTAACCAGTATATGTATAAGAGTTACTAAGACTTCTGCAGAAAAGGCAATTTAGGGGAAAATGTAGTATACCGGTATATAGATCACACACGACCTTTTTCCAACTTCGACCCCTGTCCAAAGGAAGAGTTAGACCACAAACAAACTTTTTCTCTGGTTGTGACTTTGACCTTGACATAACAGATCAATGTGTCATCAGACGTTTTCAGAGCAAAGGAAACATGTGTTATTTATTCTTGAGATGCCCAAGCAATGCATGGTTTCATAAGATAAGTGTGGCTATTAAACTGAGGCAAAATCATGAAACATCCCCGTTTACACAGCTGGCAAATGAAACATAAGCAACTATCAAATTATCAATTTCTTTTATTCATATGCCTATAGTATATCGCACATTGAACAGTGTTCACATGATGGTTCCTGATGCAGTATTTCATCCTATTCTTCAATACTCATAACAGAGTGTGATAACTGTTCGCTTGACAGTACCTACGGATTATGTTCACCAGTTCAGAGAACTTACTTTCCCTCAATACTCCTTTTCTTTCTATATTGTCATGGATGAACAGGAACCAGGATGAGGGGATACCAGTTGGACTCTATCTCTGCAGCATTGTGTTAGTAGAATTGTGAACTTTCCATTTGGTGTTTGGGTCCACATTTAAAGACAATAAGTCCCATTTATCATTCCTTTCAAGTGTTTACCACATGGCTCAAGACAAGAATTTCCTGAATGTCCTGGAAGAATTCCACTCCAGCTTGGCATTGGTTGGTCATCTCACATTAGGCAGACCAGCCTTTGTGTGTCCCAGTACCATTTGGCATACAACTTCTCAGTCGGCCTCCATTGAAATAACAGGACCCTCGTCATCGCTGTCTGCAAATCACCTCTGATATCTGTTTAGGATTCCCTTGTCTGGTCCTTCCAGACTGTCAACCTGGAGTACTCATCCAGGGATCTCAAGCAGGACTTCAGTTTCTGCAGCATAATGTACAAAGATTTTAGCAATCAAAAAGAATTGTTGCCACTTGTTGTACTTACAGATAGAAGGCAGCAAAATCACTTAAGTTATCATATGTGAGTCTTGTTATATGCTAAACATTTAAGATAATCACATCTCAAATCTCAACCAGACAAACCAGTGATTAATGTTATGAACTCGGTCCAGACAAACCGATGATAACTATTATGGACAATATCCCACATCACTGTGGTATGATTACATGCGATCAATGAGCCTACTCAATCACTACCTTATCTATTAATTAGGCTTGGAATGCTGGGAATCTTTTTAAGTGATGTCATTTAGTGATTGTTACAACTCATCAACATGGAAAAATATATATTTACAATCCTTGTCATATAGCCAAACTATTGCTGGATGCAGTGTTAAAAAAATGAGTTGGCTTTAACACTGCTTTGAACAGTATTCCAGATATATCACCGCATGTTAGCTTGATGTGGGAAGAAAGCCCTAAGTGATGCAGGTCTTTGATGAATCCCACGAGCATGTGTATAATGCTGACAAACCTAGCAACATAATCGGGTAGAACCAGGATTTGAACCCATGACTATAGGTTTCTGCTAAGCCCAAGAGATGCAACTCTGCACAGAAAATTGTAGTGCCTTGGATAATAGGACATCCGTGCCCACAGCGATAAGGAACAAACTGAAGAAATATTTGCAAAATAACCAAATGAACCAAACAGAATAATTTCAAAATATTTACCACTGTTGCTCTTCTATGGTCTTTCATTGCATTGATGCTGCACAGATGACTGTCTCTTTTATTCATCCGGACATTCTACAAACATAAGTAGCATTCACATCACAGAAATGTCCAAACTGTACATGTTGTACATTTGATTCAAATGAAAAGACCCCGGTTGTGATTCCGACTTAGAACTGCCCTAATTATAATAATTCATGTCAAACATTCAGAAATGACATTTATCCCCATATTTAACAAATGTCAAAACAATATTTTGACAACAAAGTCAGGGTCATTCAACACATACATTACATAGGAAATAACTTGTTCGACAATGCAGAGAGATCCTCACCGAGGTGAATATCATTCTATGAATTATTGCCAAATTTTCTTGAAATGCAGATTAATGCAATGCAGTATTTACTTTTATTTCTAGGCTATTTGTTTTGCTTTTCCATGGCACTGTTTTGACAGAGATCTAACCTTGATATGACACTTTGTTCAGAAATGATATAAATAACAGAATACTTTATTATTCCCGAGAAAATTTGGGTTACATTGTAAAAGCACAGAGAAACAAGTATATGATTCATGATTTAAGTTAAATACACTCATACATACACACACAAACACAACATCCAAACACCAGGGTTAGAAATTGGCACTCGTCATTTTGACATTTTAAAGGTTTTGCTATATGCTATCATTTTAGGACTAGTGGACTGAAAGTGTTAGTTTCTACCGCTGCAAACACTAATCAACTAATGAATTGGGTGGTCAGACTAGGTTGTCATCATACTCTGAGGGCATGGATCTTTGCTGATAATAACAATCACTAGATTGCCTGGTCCATGATCAATTATTTACAGGCTGCCATCACAGAGCTGGACTATTGTGAGTGTGATGTTTCACATTGCATTGAAATATACCATGATGAATACATGTAGTTTGTATTTATCACAAACAAAAATACTCACTCAATACTTTGTATCCCCCCTGAGGATGTCTGTGAACCTCCCCACAAACCCTGAACATGCTGAAACAATAAACAACTAACTTGTCTTTATCCTTTCAATGTTTCAGTGTGAATTTGTTAAAGATTGATAAGCTGTCATTATTCATTGTAATCCATATCTCACTTCCAGGTGGTTCAGGTGGCAACACATCATTGGAATTGAATGCGACATTTTGTTTGACATGCACTTAGCCAGATTTATACCCTTGGTAACTAACCCTCATCATCAAATCCCAGCGTTATGTTGAGAATAAGGACACGACCCTTAAAAGTCCTGCACCTGTACTCTACCATCCGCTCAATTACCGCGCTATAGTGCCACCGCTGTCTCGTTATACCGCTACCGTGCCTCACGCTCTGGTGACTCTCGCTTCACGATCCAACACCCGTTTTCGGTCTTAGGGAAACTTACACATCTTTACGATCAAACACCCGTTCTAGGTCTTAGGGAAACTAACACAACTTTACGATCCAACACCCGTCTTTACGCATTCGTGACCAACTCGTGTTATTCCGGGTTAACCCCGTTTCACCTCACCCTTTTGAACCAGTGGCCTCAAACTGTCTGTCTGTATGACTTCGTCACACCCTGAGCACAAAGTTGTGAGCCCGTTATGATCCGTGAGTATTCTGGAACTTACTCACTCACACATATTCTTCTCTACATCACGCCTAATATTTCATCCTTCCTTTTCATTATCGCAGATATGGCCAGGAGAGTTCTGCGTCGGTGTTCCTCAATCAAAGCTCAAACCGGATTGGTCATAAATACAAGAAGGCGATATACAGGGAGTATACCGACAGTACGTACACCATAGAGAAACCGAAACCGGTTTGGCTGGGCTCCATGGGACCGGTTCTTAAGGCCGAGACAGGGGACACAATTGTCGTGCACTTCAGAAACAATGCAACCAGGACGTTCTCCATGCATCCCCACGGCGTTCACTATGATAAGGCCCACGAAGGTATGTGGTGTAAAACAACAGTATTACTTCACTATTTGATAGTCATTCATGAATACATGCTCATGATATCATCGGTATCGGAAAATGGACTCCGCTTTTAGCAGAGATTTCTTATGATTATGGAATGAATGTTGTCGCTTTCATTCAACAGTACCGTAGAGTGCTGGAAATCAATAACACACGTGTTTTATACTAATCGTGAAACATATTAGTCTCGGGGCTTAACCAAATTATTGGTACAAGGTGGATAAACGCATCAATTTGGCACACTTATACAGCCACCCATACTGATTAGTTTTGGGATAGGAGCCACCTTGAAATATATTTTCAACTTCCGATCCGGTAGCCATAAAATCCAATATGGCCGCCAAATCACTCTCCCGGCAATGTAAAAATTAGTGGAAAGTTTAATCGTACGCACAACTGTAACATGTTTTATATCAAATGAAAGGATTTTTCATACCCTGACTGATAATGAGATGATGGTTTACATTCGTTGAAGGAGTAAAAAGAAAATGTCAAAAAGACAAAATATATTAAATTCTTAAACTGATAGACGATGTCATTAATTCAGTCAGATTGATGTTAAGGTGACAGAGACTTTTGACTACAGTCCAGAACTACCCCGCGGAGCCTCTGCTCCATCATTTTTAAATATGAAGAGTTATTCGGACATAAATCAGGAGAATGCAGCTCTCCCAAATGTACAAATGTTATCGATGTGAAAGTACCCAAAGGTCTCTCCCATTCCAAAGGAAACCATATATCTGTTAAGGATTGTAGTGCAATCGAGTCATGGGATTTTCCATTAAGGATGAACAAAACACCTGTATCTTTTGTACGTGTGTGCAGTCAGGTTCCAATATGCAGGGGACATTTAATTTGACACATCTCGTCTTTCAAGGATTGCAGAGCACCGTCATCATCTTTCTTCCTGAAAGAGGGGGCAGGGATGGCCCAGTCGTCTAAGGCGCCGCGATTCGCTGTGCATGGTTGTGTCTCTTGGGCGTGGGTTCGAATCCCGGTTCGCCCCGATTATGTTCCTAGATTTGTCAGCACCATACCCGTGCTCGTGGGTTTCACCGAAGTGGTAAGCGTCTGAGACCTGCATCACTTCAGGCTTTCCTCCCACATTAAGCCGCGATATAACTGGAATACTGTCAAAAGTGGCGTTAAAACCTCACTCACTCACTTCCCGAAAGAAGGAAAGCTTCACTCGTCGCCTAACTATATATAGTGGACACTTATAAATAATAAACCTTTACTTTTGGCATTAAATTAAATCTAAGTTGCATAATCATGGATACAACTTGTTAATCTTTATGTATATATATTTGTGTGAATGTATGTGTGTTTGTGTGGATATTTGTATGTTTGTGTTAATGCGTGAGTGAATGTGTGTTTGTTTGAATTTGTGTTTGTGTGTGAATGTGTGTTTGTGTGAATATATGTGAGAGAATAGGTGTGTATTTGTGTGAATACGTGCGTGTTTGAATATATGTATATGTGTGTGTGAAAGCGTGTGATCAATGTGTGTTTGTGTGCCATATGGCGGGTGTGCGACTATATGCGTGTGTAAGTGAATACGTATACGTGTTTGTGTGAATGTGAATGTGAGAGTGTGAGTGAGTGAGTGAGTGAGTGAGTGTGTGTGTGTGTGTGTGTGTGTGTGTGTGTGTGTGTGTGTGTGTGTGTGTGTGTGTGTGTGTGTGTGTGTGTGTGTGTGTGTGTGTGTGTGTGAGTGTGATGGCAAAAAATGGCACAAAATAACATTCACTCCGTCTGTCACAACACAGTATTATAGGTACAGCATGGATAGCCAAGCCTTAGAAGCTCGTTTTTTGTTATTTGTTATTATCAATTTATTTGTTTATTATATTCAGTTATTTGTTTCCATCAAAATTACACATTTTCAGAGATAAGCGTAAGTCTAGTATAGCCTGAATAGCTTGTATAGCATTTATTAAGCATTTCCTATGTAGATGAATGTACCAAGTGTTGAACTTCCAGGTGCACTCTATGCTGATGGAACTCACGACCAAGCCGGTGCGACAGATATTGTTCCTCCCAGACAAAGCCACACCTACAACTGGACCGTGCCTCACGAGTCCAGTCCGGCTGAAGGAGACCCGGACTGTTTGACCTGGGTGTACCATTCTCATGTGTCACCGGTTGAAGATATCTCATCGGGACTGGTTGGATTTCTCCTGACCTGTCGAAATGGTAACAGCTCTTCAATTACATTTTTGCCGTATTCTTAAATAGATGATTTCATTAAAGATGTGCAATTGCATGTTTACACAGCAAATAATAATGCTC